CCCCACAAAACCATAATAAAAACTACTGATTAATGAAAAAAATAAATAAATAAATAAATACCATTAATTAGCATTTGTATACCTAATGAATACCCACATTTTAAAATAAAAAAAAATGTGTTGCATGGTTGAATCCTTGTTTGGATTTATATTTCAGCAGATTGTCCCAGTTGCATCATTGCATGAAACGAGCTATTGATCACTGAAGTATGGTCCATTTACACACCATTCCCAACCTCTATCAGTCACCTTTATAACTGGCTATTAACAAAATATGCTATTCATTACTCTTATGTGACACAGTATGGTAAGAAAATATGAAAGCAAACATATACCCAAAGGTATTTATGTTTCTCAGATTATAACATAATTAAGACCTCTGAATTCTGCCTCTTTGTAAATTAATATTTAGAAGGCCCCTAGTGAATTATTCATTACAGTGACCAAGCCAGTATTGGAAAGGATATTTGACAATGGGAGCTCTTATTCACTTCTGTTAAGAATGTTCATTGGAGATCTGTTCAGTAATATCTAGTAAAAATGAAGATCTTCATACCCCATAAGCCAGAAATTTCATTTGTGAATATGCGTTATACATGTGCATAAGAACCTTTGCATTATATAATGAAAGCAACTTAAATGTCTATTAAGAGGGCAATGGTCAAAAATTGTGTTCATTACACTCATACAATGAAACAACATGCAGTAATTGAAAGTGTGTATAATTTTATGCATTATCATAAATTTTGTTAAATAATTTTAAGTGAATCAGATGTATTTTAGAATTATACATAATATGTTTATAAATTTTAAAAGCAAGTAAATCTCTCTTACTCCATATATTTGCATATATATGTATATATATACTTATATATATATATAATTTTGAGAGAAACATACTTTTTACAGTAAAACCAGAGACAGAATAGCCATCGGCCTAAGGAAGTATTTCTAAAGCCAGTTCCTAGACCTGTAGGATTATATTTCATTTCATTCTCATTCTGGAGCATATTCCTGTGTGTGTTTAGTTTTGTTTTGTAATAGGTGGTTTTTTTTTTTCTGTTGTTATATAGATATAAATAAATTGGCAACCTTTCCTCTTGTACCAGGAGAGTCTAGTTTGATAAGCCTTTCAGTCATAAAAAAAAAGGTAAGTCAAATACTAACTGTTACATAATGGGTAAAGTTCTGCACATTGATGTAATGTTGAACTGGCAGCCCTTCAGAAACAGCTGTGATATGTCCTGTAAATAGGCTGGGGGGAGAAGGTAATTATGCAGAGATTATGGTGCAATTTTTTTTCCATTTCCTTTTGACTGGAACAGAAGAAAAGGGGATAGAAGATGCTCTCCAGTTAGGAGGGAGAGGATCAGCAAGGCCGAACATCCCCGGTAGATGAGCAAGCCCATGTAGCAGAGAAGTAGACCAGAGGCTCAGGAGAGAGACTAGGCTACTGGGAGTTTTCTCGGAGGAAGGCAAAGCCCAATGACCCTACAGTTTCTGATATTCATTTTCAGGTTTCCTGTTTTGGGCAACAATCTCTCTAAGTGATCTTAAGCCTTGGTTTCTGTCTGGCAGACATACCCATGTTGTGTTGTCTCTATTTTATGGAATCAAGTGAGAGGACCAGGAAAACTGCAGCCTGGATAGCAGACTGAAACTGACGCTTCTTGAAAGAGTCAGGGGCTTCATAGCACAGAGCTAAGAGGAGGGTGTGGCCTCTTAGGTAACAAATGGTGGTCCAGGTTCTTCTGTGAAGGCAACGGTGTCAGGAGAGGTGCACTGAGTACTGCGAAGGTGAAGTTAAATGGCAGCCGCAGTAGCAGCAGGAGAGATGGTGAAGCCAGCGTGGGGAGCAGCATCTCCTGCTGCACGAACACATGGTATTAGGACACTTAAAACATGATAGTTCCAGTAGGGAGAGTTTGTGAGCCTTTCCTTGAGAAAAGCTGAGAAACAGAAAGGAATGAAGGGAAGAGAGACTTCGGGTTGGTAAATGTGGGCTTTTAAAAAGAAAAGAAAAGAAACACGTTGGTGCTGTCTTTGGCAGGACAGGGAAAGTGCACGGGGAAGAAACAGGCCTTGACTATACCTCACCAATAGTCTTACCAAGTTATATGCCCTGCAAAATCTCCATTGCACATTCAATACTGAAAGATCCCATTGGTCAGTCGTATGGCCATGTCCAAACACATGGATGATTAATGTTATATTGGTCAAATAGTGTTTAATTCACTTAGATTTTTTATATTTATTCCAAAATTGGCACTCTGTAGAATAGTTCAAATTAACTGTTCAGTTATGACCACAATGAAAAGTATCTGTTTGGGCCAGGCATGATGGCTTATGCCTGTAATCCCAGCACTTTGGGAGGCCAAGGTGGGAGAATTGCTTGGGCCCAAGAGTTCAAGACCAGCTTAGGCATCATAGTGAGACCTTGTCTCTACAAAAAATAAGAAAAAATTAGCCGGGTGTGGTGGCATGTGCTTGTAGTCCCAGTTACCTGAAAGTCTGAGGTGGAAGGATCACCTGAGCCCAGGAGGTCAAGACTGCATTGAGCTGTGATGGTGACCCTGCACTCCAGCCTGGGCAACAGAGTGAGATACCAACTCAAAAAAAGAAAGAAACAGAGAAAGAAAAAGAAAAAAAATTTAGAAAACCTATAACTTAATTTTAAAATACTTATTATATTTATATGTCTTTTCTGCAAAATGACAATGCCAAACATTGGAGGAGAGTGGACTCCTCTCTGTCAAATAAGAAAAATTTAAATTTTAGCAATCTACAACTTGTGAAGTTGATGTTATAGTTTTTTTTCTTTTTTTAATCACTATGCCTTGAGGCCACTTATTTTTATAAGTAGATAGGGTTACCAATAATGCAATATATTCTGCATGTTCAACCTTTGCAAATTATGCCATCCAGGGCAATTGACTTGGTGAGCAAAATCTTCACAGTCACCTGGGAAGCTGTATTTAGAAATATGATCAGTCTGACCAAGGTTACAGCACTTTTTTTTTCCCTTAGTATTCAATGCTGTTATATATCAACTGTAAGTTTTAAATAGCGTTGCAATGTTATTGGAGGTTTGTGTTTTCCAATGCCTCTGATTAATCAAATTTAATTAAAAATAAAAATAAAGATTGATTTATAGTACAGCAGGGAATGTATCATCTTCTTGTTTGTTTATCTTGGAATGACAGAGTAAAGACAAATCCCAAGGGGGAGAAAAAAGGATAAAGATGTTCGAATATTTTCAACATGTAAAGAATTGTATTTAGAATGGTCAAAAACTTACACATAATAAAATAATTCATCACAGACTCTGGCAAGGAGACATCTAGAAATTGGAGATAAAGAATATTTCTGATATAAGAGTGAATGCAAAAGAAAATTTAAGAATTTTTTAAAAAAACTAAGTGGAAATAAGACTCTGGAAATTAGTGTTGTGTGCCTTCATTTTTGGATTTTTATTATTTTTAAATTGTTCCTTCAGTCACCATAGTTATACAATGATTTCTGAATAGTGTTTACCTTTGTGATAGTTTCATCTCCCTCTGTTGTCCAAACTGATAAAATCCAGAACTCTAGAAACAGCAAGGCACTCCCTTCCTCTGTTATTTGTAAGCTGACATGAAGTAGACAGACACCTTCTGAAGTTTTATGCATGCTGTGTTTTCTCTCCTTGCTGGAATAAGAAAAGCTTTTTTTTTTTCTAAACTGGCAGCCTTTGAAGAAGTGACTCAGACATCTTCATGGCTTCTAAAGGTAAGAGTAAATGTAACCAGCTAATAAATTTTTCCTTATATTACAACTAAAAATACACAGTTATAGAGGTGTTACAATCAGTGAGATTGGTACTCTAAAAGCTGTCATTTGTTGCTATTGAGCATTAGAATTTTTAAATTTTAACTCTAAGGAGCATGTTGAATTAAATTTAAAAACAAACACTATCTGATAGTATGTAAACGTTCAGGTATAAACAATGTTTTAGTTATCATGAATATAAACATCATGAATTAATAAGAAAACTGCATAGCAAATTTAAAATGAAAATATTTACCATCAAACACAAGGACACGGTGATATTCCAAGTGTAAAGGGATTTGAAGAAAATTACACGTAAGTTAGAAAGTGCTAAAGTACAATTTAATAAATTTCAGTTTTTCATGTGGTATTCAAAATATGTGATACAGTCATGTATTATAATATATGTGCTATTATTGAATCTTAAATTTGATAAACTACAAATAAATATTTCTAATGAAGCAAAAATCTTTCAAAATTTCTATGACAGTAAATTAAATATAAAAAGCAAACAGAAAATATCTAATTTATGCAAGAAGATCAATTAGGGACTTTGAGGAGAGGGAGCTAGTAAGTTTTTTCTCAAACCATTACTGTTGTCTCACTTCAAGGAAATTCTTAAAAGACAAGCAATATAGTTGTTTTTAAGGTGATACGTTGTAATCTTTCTAAAAATACTTGTGAAACTTGCATTAAAAATAAAATTACAATGTGCTTTCATTTACTGTCAGAATAAGCCATTAAACTCTAGGTTATAATGAAAAGTTTTAGCATGAAGAATTAGGATTATTATAATTGGTAGAAACCTTTTAACTTAATTACAAATAGGATAATAGAGTCCATCAATTTATAATACACTAAATTAACAATCCATGTAAAGAAATGTGTGTGGTTACTTGCTTTTTTTAGCAAAACCACTTTTGTACACATTTAATGTAAAACAAATGAGGTAATCTTTTTCATTTTTCAACAACATTCAATATAGATCAGTTTCTGAGAATCTCCGGGAAAGTGCAAATTGTAAAATAGATACATGAAAGAGCAAAACCATGAATTTTAATGTATGTGGGTTTTTTAATGTTTAAAGAGAAATAAACAAACAAAAAAAGCTTGACAAATATTTTCTTTTATTTAAGTCTGACACTAACACTTAATCCAAAACACTCCATCACTTTATAAAATAAAAGTTACTGCAACAAAGTAGCCTGTAAGGTAAAGAGTTGCAGAGTGTGTAAAATATTTATAAGCTAGTTATACATTTTTAAAAGAGTAGATAGAAATTCAAAGCCAGATAGAAATTCAAAGGAGTTCCTTCTTTATCTGGTGGTCTGAGTCTTTGAAGAAACTTGTGACTAGAAAGCAATATTATGATCAAAATATGATTAATCTATCAAAAAAGCAGTGATGTTCAGTACAGATAAAGACTTAATACTAAACTTAGGGACAAAACTTCAGGTGGAAAACTGACACTCCTTCTGCAACCTACTCGAGATATTTGGCACGTGAATTAAACAAAACTGTCTATTAGAGACCTTACATTACATAAGAGAAATTAAGTGGCAATGAAGCTTTCTTTTGAATTAGAAATCTTATTTGAGAGGGTAGATCAGGTTATCATCATTATTTACCTAATACATTTTTGTGGACATCTTTCTTCAAATATATTTTCAAACATTATTTATAACATCATGTTCTCTGGCCCATGAAAATGAATTGGCAATTAGTTTTTCCTAGGGAATACAGCCTAATTGGACTTTTCACACATTCATACATAGATAAATCAGCTCTACTAAACCAAAAGACAGTCTAAATATTGGATGCCATTAGAACTGAAGAAGCATTTGTGTGGTCTGGAGCCACCTGGTTTAGTATAAATTAACACAATTCAAGACAGGTTGTTCTCAAGCTTTAAGTTTGGAAAAGTGTTTCCAGAATGATCTAAACAGAACAGCTTGTTGACCCTTGTGACAAATTTTAGAGGTCACTCCAATCAGAAGAGGAAGCAAGCGATCTCAGAATAGTGATCACTCTCTTAACAGTCTGAGTCTCACTCACACTCTACTCCTGAATAAAGACTTGGGACATTATACCCTCTGGGCCCTGAGTGCATTAATGCCCCTGGACCTGCTGTGGTCTAAGGACCTGAAGACCTGGGTTAGGAATGTGTTTCCAGACACTCAATAACCTATTGCATTTTGTTATAGCAAGCATAGTTTACATGATAAAACTGGGGCAACTTGCCAACCCTTTTAACAGTAAAATTAACAGTGAGAGAGAATTTAATAATCTGCTACCAGTTATCATTAGAAATTAACCCTTACACCTTTTTTATTGAGGATAGCACATGTAAAGTACACAACAAGCATAAAAATTAGGTATCATAATTTTTTAAATAAGTACACTCATATAACCATTACCAAGATCGAGATATAGACATTTCTAGATTCTATAAAATTCCCTTTCTGGCCAATAGCCATGCTTCCTAATTCCCAAGATGAACCACTATTCTGAATTTTATCATTGTAAGCTACTTTTCCCTAGATCATAATTTTAGTGCTTCGGAAATTTAATGAAAACAGTGCATTTGGCACTGAGGTTGAAGAAAGAGTATTTATTGTCTCTTAATACTTCCTTACTGTTATTGCTACAATGACCATTAGCTCCTCTCCCAGATCTGGCATAGTTTACATAGTTTTACTCTGGGCTTATGGTTTGAGATCTGATTGAAGGACACTTGTCAAGAGTAAGGGGAATTCTAATGACTATATCCTTTGTGTCTTCCCAAAATCTAAGAAAAGTTCAGGATGGGACCCTTGTGACAAGCAAACTGCTATAGTGTTATTAGTGTGAAACTCTATTTTAGTGGGCCCGTAGGACAAGTTTTTCCATTTGGTCCTAACTTTAAAGCATGTCCAAATCCTAAATGTCACAGAGCAGTACCAACTTAATGATTATACACTAATAACAATAAACGTCTATCCTACCGCCTTAAGGCTAAATAAATAAACGGATAAATTTATGTCATGAATAAACAAATGAGTGAATGAATTCAGGATATGCTTGAGTTTTCTTAATGATGAGGAATTTGCTATCTTCAAAGGAAACCCAGTTCATGTTTTAAATTATTTTTCAGAGATTTAAAAGATACAGAAATATCCCTCTCTCACAAACATACAAACTTTCATGAACTTGTCATTGGGAAGTTAGACCGACCATTGTAATCTAATGGTAAATATATAGATGCTACTTCAATTTTAGTACATTTGTAATGAGAGTACTTATACAAATCTTTGTGCAGCTGTCATAAATTCCCTCCCTGTTATCATTCCAGAAACAGTTTCCTTGTCCTTGCCATTCATTTGTCTTTAGGACAATATGAATTCCTTGTCTTTATAATGGGCCCTCTCATATTTGAAAAGACCTGTCACACCTGGCTCCACATCTGCACTCAACCTAAAACAGCATAATATTGATAAACTAACTAAATGCACTTGTGAATATTCTGATACTTTATTGATTACTAAAGATGAGAAATAAAAGCACTAATATTCTCTGAAAAAATTGTTGATATTTAATGAGGGAAGTACCCATATAGTATTTGTGTGAGAAGAAAAAATAGAGAGATTATCATTTATATTTTTAAATAAACAACAAAAAAAAACCTTCTGCATACCCCACTTATTAGGGTTTATGTACAATATTATGCTGAGTAGCCAGGTTCAGTGGCTCAACCTGTAATCCCATGCCTTGGGAGGCTGAGGTGAGTGAATTGCCTGAGCCCGCGGGTTTGAGACCCGCCTGGGCAACTTGGCGAGACCCCATCTCTACAATAAATCAAAAACATTAGCTGGGTGTGATAGCACGCGCCTGTAATTCCAGCTACTTGGAAGGCTGAGGCGGAAGGATCGCTGGAGACCAGCAGGTCGAGGCTGCGGTGGCCAGGAGTGGCCACTGCACTCCAGTCTGGGTGACAGAGTGAGACTCCAACGCAAAAATATATATATATATATTATGCAGAGTAATGCAAGGTAAATAGGAAACCTTCACATTTCAAGTTGAGAGATAATTAAAATAGCAACATATTTACCTGGTCAATAATATAGAAAACAGATGATTTCTCTTTAAAAATCAAACTTTATAGGACTCTGATTATTTTATCCTTTATCTTTTGTAATATTGGGAGAGCCACAAAAAGAATCGTGCTGTCAAAATATTACTAAGTGTTTTTATACAAAACACCTAGAAATCAAATCTAAATTTGCTATCAGAGTGCTCTTAAGGAGCTTACAAATTCGTTATAAATATTTGATAGCATATGAAATGACACCATTAGTTGTCAAAGTATATCCTCAGACCAGCAGGATTAGCTTCATCTGAGAACTTATTAGAAATGCAAGTTCTCTAGCCCTACCTCTCTCCTCAACTCCTGAATCAGAAACTCAGGAGTGAGGTCCAGCAATCCGTCGGGTTTTTTTTTTTTT